AACAGAAAAGCAGATATAATAGGGCATATCAGCTTTATGAGACAAACATGCATCTGCCATTGTTGCTTTCGGTGTGATTTTTGCCGCCAACTGGGTCTATTTAATTTTCTTCTTCTAAAGCGCAAAACTTACAACAGCTATTTACGTAGATAACAGTAAATTACACAGGAAAACTTAGATTTTATCTGTACGGACATCTGGTTGAGTCGACTGGAGGGCAACGAGATTAGTTTTGCATAAATGTAGTGGAAAAAGAAAATACTTTGGCGATACTATCTAGGTTAATAGTAGTTCTAATAACTTCTGCGTTTTTGTTCAACGAGGTTCGAAAAGAGGTGTCATTTCGACGAGGCATTGTTTAAGGATCATTCTTAATATACAGAACAAAGCAAAAAGGCTCTGCCTCCTTGAGGCACGTTTGCCAGGAAAGGTATTTTCTTTTTGTATACATTACATATAGTAGATGAGTTGAAAACAGTTTGCAAGAACCATCGCCTACTCCAAAATGAACAGGTATTGTGAATTTTGTGCTATCGTAAAGCGAACTGAAGGCATCATCAAGGACATTTGCCTGTAGAAACACAGAGTGAGGTAATCGTCGAACTTCAAATCCTTTGAGTAAACTAGTTATGTATTATATATCAGTGTTCTACTTCACGCTTGCCTTTCACCACTGCGGTGATTGTACAGTCAAATACATGTGACCATTCCTGCTCAACTTACCAAGTTGGAGACATTTCTCTTTGAGCAGGATACGCTTGACCTTCCGGTGAATAAGGTCATCATATGCAGTGTTTATCAGCTTCCTCAATAGTCATTTAATATGTGAGGCTATGAAAGGGACAATTAACGGGTCATTTAGTTTGTATTTCGCAAATATGTCAATGCTTATTTAACATCGGCCGATGATATCCATATATGTGATATCTGTTGTCCATATGATACTTTGTCTGATAAAGTTAGTCCTTAAAAATTGCAATCCCATATCGAGCCAGCACGACTTAGATGTGCATAGAGCAGTGCACGCTCGTACAACGTATTAGACGTCCTCGCGTTCAGAAGCTTGATCTAGGAAAAAACAGCAATACCTGGCAGCTTTAAGCTGAGTGCTAACACGGCTTGTCAAACGTTAGAGGTTCATGGTTTTGACTACAAATGTCAATGGCTGTGAGGTGCCTATAGCTAAGAAACATTCTACATACACGCAGTATCCGTTGAGTTAGTATCGTCCGGTGCTTCGTGTGTTATAATTAAAACGTATCTGGAATTGTGTATTGCATCTAAGATAAGTTAAATGAACCTGCCACATTGCCATATGTGTATCTACAGGGATACATGTACGACGCGTAGGTAAGACAGGTCGAGTCGACAGCCTTTAGCCTTCTGTAACACGGTATTTAGCCATCAGACAATGGTACAAATCATTTGAAAATTGCCTAATACCGAATTGACGCAGCGGAAATAATACTAAGCGTTGAAGAAGGGGCAACATAGCAGCAATTGACGCTTCTTTTGTTTACCTTTGCTTTAAGTGTTCCGTTTTGAATGGATGACGCCGTACGGCCATTGAAAATTTACTAGCTATGGGTTTCTCGTAGTTTCACTCAAGCCTGTTTTTTTGTTCGCCTCGACAGCGACGTTCGTTAGCGTATCTTATCTTATATATCATTCCTTAGGCACAATAGGCAACATCTTCTGCAGTAGATTCTCCAACGCTCACCAGGTTTACCGTCGTAAATACCGTCGACGACTGTGTGCGAGTCGTAGATTTTCTCTCATGAGACGGAGGATTGTCGGCGGAATACGATTCGCTAGCCAACATTGATTGCCTTCAACGCATCCGTACGTTTGGCTAATTTTCGCTCAGTTACATTGATATTAGGATGCACCAAAGTGCAGGTTATCCCAGTTACCACATGAATTAAATATGGAAGTTACTGCTTACCAAGGTCCCACGTACGGCAATATGCCACCCATCGCTATTTTCCGCTACAGCAGAAACGGCGATAGTAATTGTTTCTTTATAATATAAAAATAAATCGTAGTAAAATTAATTCTGGAATCGTAATCGTTGCATGCAAACTATAAACAACTTAATTAAAATATAATAAGTCGATATGAGAACATATAAAATTAGTACTTTTTTCATGGTGTGATTAAGCGTAGTTGGGCTTTGTGACACTGTCCGATAACTGTACACTGTCGTCCTTCGAAAATCGTATTGAATTGCATACAGCGCGTTTCTAAATCGTGCTCGAGTATTTCTTCCTACTGCTTGGACGTCTACTATGAAACAAAGCAGTAGTTTCTGTCAGTTTAGCTCAAAGTTCAGATCAAAGAGTCAAAAATTAAGGGAATCAGCCACGCTAAATTGCCGTCTAAAATGGCTGATTGCGCCTCTCATAGACAGTTCGCTCCCTATTCGTTTTCCACCGATGTCGTCTTTCTAATTTGCCCAGTTTTCGTTTCTGACCTGCTGTATCAAACAAAGTCCGGACTTCGCGCTGGCCTTGCGTTCGTTCGCCTGAAGTCCGAATAACTGAAACAGGCAGCTTTCTGTTGAGATCAGCACGCAACTATTGAATGCTGAATCTCTATATGGAACCATACTTAAGCTGTGTTCGATATATTTTGTGATTTTTTCAGATCATTATTCCTTGATTGACCATTCTAATAGCAATATAAGCAGTTTGCTCACCCCACAACGCCTCCAACGTTGAATTTTCTTTCGATACATACAACTCGGGCGAAAACTTTGTGTTGTGAGCCCCGTGAGGAATGGCTCCATAGCTAGCATCACTGTATTTTGAAAAAAGAAAAAACTTTATACAGATTCTTGCACAGTAAGTTGATAAGATGCCGCTTTACCCTTAGAAAAATACCATTTGATATGACAATTATATTTACATAACTATAAATGTACGTAACGATTCAGACCCAAATTATCAAATAGTTTCACTCCCGATCTTACTGACGTATTAAAATATGCTATTGATTTTTAGAACTTAAACAAACCGTTTCTGGCAAACAAACCTGTTGGCCCTAATTGAACACAAGTAACAATCAAAGCAAACTTAGTCAAGTAGAAGGAAACCCACACAAATGACCTTTCATACTTTTGCGTATTATTTGAATAGTCTGTACGTACACCTGTTCCAGCATAAAGGAGGCATCTCGAGACTAGTCTTTATTTTACGCTACAGTTCGAGTACCATCGTGTATGTTCGATAGGCCTGCTCAGTATGTCCTAATGGTGTGGTTTTGCCGCTAAATATAAAAAACCCGCACCAAGTCTGGAGAGAAAAGATACCAAAGGTTAATAACTAGGTTGTCTGGACGCAGTCGACCTGAGCCGACATGACTATTTCTTGCCTATACACACACCCTATTCACTTACAGCGATTTGATTCGTGGGATGGTTATAAATGGCTTTTAAGCTAAAATCTCAAATTTATATTTGTCCCCGAGGTCGAAATAGTCTTCTTTTGCCAGCCCTTATCACTTCATACACTCGAAACTATCCTCGCTTATCTAGCTATAACCTGTCGTATAATAACTGCCAAGCAGCTTTTTGCACACCCGCTCCTACATCAGTCACTACTTGCCTTTTTCTGAACCATCTTTTCCAGATCCGTTAACATATCTTTATTAAATAACACACGTTGCCATTATAGTTCAGCTTTCGTGATTCCTTCGAGTCCTTTTGGTGTTGTCGTCGTCGCCATCTTGTTCTTTTTTCTTTTCCTTTTCTTCGCCAATTTTCGATGTCATATTTTGCTGCTCTACGTCCAGTAGGCTACACTCACTATCAGTGGCTCGTTGTTTTAATCCCGCCCATCGCCGGCGGTAGCGTATAGCGAGCAAAACGTTGTTTACCGTTAGGGCGAAGAAAATATAGTCGTAAAAACGTACAAGCTTGTAGTGCGCATGCGTCCAGATGAAGATAGAAGAGGAAGGGTAGGATTCTTAGCGCGTCGAGCGCCAAAGTGCCGAGAGAACTCTATCTCGATATCCACAGACCGGTCAGAGACCGAACTCCTCTAAGCAAGAGCACGAGGTGCCCCACACCGTGCGCACGGGACAAATGAACGTAAGGCGGGCAAAACCAATAGACGAGTGTTTTTAGAAATGTTCGACATAGACAAAACGATCGACGAAAACGCAAGAAAATACGCAGGCGTCGAGCGTGTACTCGCACCATCACCGTATTAAGTGCTTATGAGCCTATGTGAGCGCTAAAGGGTGCTTCCATTGCAATCTCAACTTTTTGTCTAGCAAGTTTGAAAAGACCACTAACAATAGGAAGGAGCCCCTGCATCGGGCAGCCGGCGGTCTCTGATCATATTTTAAGAAGTCGTTAGCATTTTCTAGAGCGTCGCTTGCGTGTTGACGCGGCAACGGTGAATCAATGGAGGTTCTGCTAGTAATCTGGCATCGCGGAAATTTGTTTTGCCAGGTTTCTGAAACTTGTGAGGACGAAGTGAGTAACTTCGTGTGTGTACTATAATGCCCCTATACTTCAGTTGTCGTTTTTCTTGAAAAGGAGAGTTAAAAGAGCGAAGAAGAGACAGAGTTTCGGACGTCGTTACACGGATGTTGTAGAAAATACACGTGTGTGGTAAAAACAAAAAAAAAAAACAAAGCTAAGGCTACGAAGAAAAAAGATATGTAGTAGATAATAGATCGATTGGCAGAACAGTGGACAGTGGAAAAGTACTCCAAATAAATATCTGCGATCTAGTCTTTTGTCATTGTGCCTATGTAGCGATAACGTAATAATCAAGACGTGTGCAGCGCGATCAGTAGAGTGCGATAAAGTAGTGGCTTTTAAAGACATCATGCTTTAGTTATCCGTCGACTTCTCTGATGCTTATTACTGAATTGAGGCCTCGTGGTCACTTCGAGTGATTTTAGCAGAAGAAAAAGTTCTGCGAAAAGTGCGTGTTCCCATAGGAGTATTTACTACAACTATTAGAATACTACTGCTACTACTACTAGAACTTACTACAAAAAATCATTACTATTGCATCTTAATCCTTTCTCTTTTTTCTTTTATCGTCGTTGTTATTGTTGTAGTTAGGTTGCAGAACGAACTAAAACTTAGGACAAGTCGTGCATTTATTTATTGCTAACGCTGTTATCAGTATAGGCTCATGTTACGGCCTGTTATTGGGGAGTCGGAAAACAATACAGTGACCGTCAGTGGGAAGCTGAAGCAACGAAGAAGCGTAGAAGTTCTTCACCTCAACCTGTGATTAAGCTATGGAGTATTCTGTTTTGCGGCTAGTTGATATATGGTTAAGTGAACTTCTCCTTGTAACTTTTTTGTGCGTCATTGTAAAGCGCAGTACCGTCTTGCTCTGCTGAATCGTCGTTGGTGGTCCATAGTCCGTAACACAGACGCCGTAACAAAAGGAAGTCATAGTGATAAAAAAAAAAAAAAAGTAAAAAAAGCCACAAATGAAACGTCAAAGTTTTCTTTATATGTAGACGTTTGTGGGGTGATTCGTTGCTCATAACAGACTGTGCGCAAGGTACCAAACTGCAATTCATTGAAACTGCAGGAGCACGCTGGTCGTTCCCACCAAAGACTAAAAAGCCGCACCGTTCGGGACGGAATTGGTTCGACGAGTAACAACTGGCGAACAGAAATGAGACAGCGTCGCAAGCATCGGAGAAGGTATAATAGAAAACAAATGACTTTTAGCTCAAATGAGGCCAAAGCCTTCGTGTTCAAGCAACCAATGGCAATGACCCGTTCGTTGATAATTAATCTCACAAGATATTAAATTTTGTTTTCACAAGATATTAAATTTGTTTAGTACCTTATCGTTGTGCGACTGCCTCAATTGCAGCTGTCCATGGACAGCTCATCGTGGGCGTTTGCGGCAATGAATCTTGGGATGTCTTCCTGTGAAATTACAACTATAGGCGTTTTAAGTTATGTTGATTCATGTTGTCTTCGGGGTCATGAAAAGTAAGTTATCGGCAACTGCACCAAGCTTAACTACAAAACATTGTCCTTACGTAACGCTAAGCCGTATAAATGCCATTACAAAATCGATGAATGGTCAACAGCTTCGCTCTCTAGTCATATTGCAGCCAAATATATACCCTATTTTCTGCACTACCTCAATTGGCGGTAACCTTTTGGAAAATCGAAAACGACTTTGTTCAAGAGTAACAACTCGGCGAAAGGAGGAAAGATTGTCTTCAAAACGGAGAGTTTCGAGCGACTAAAGTGGTGAGACATTTTTGGCTGAGGATAGGCCAAGGGAAAACCCTTCAACTTGGGACAGACTATCGACAACGTATGGCTTACAAATGATCTCCAACTGCATCCAAGGGTTGAAATAGAGTTAATACTTCATAATGCTATTCGCATGCGTGTTAGCTAGATAATCACGATGGCACATCGTTGTATCTCTAATCGTTAGTGAAGTCGTACCGGAATAGACCTAAACCGAGTTACTTCAATATTCAACATGTATAAGTATTACGAGCAGGTTTTCTAACATTGCAGTGAAGATTGCGTTCGCTTGTTTGTAAGACGACGTTCGATTGTAGTGAAAGAAGTTTTCCTTTTTTTCGTTTCCGCAAACGAATTTTTGCTCGGTATTGGACCTTTTATCTGTTACACAGAAAATCACACGTAAACGATATGGGTCTGTGGCAACGACAACGACGTCTTCATCAGGTCAAGACCAGTTCTCCGTAACTAAAATTTTGATTAAAATCTTCCCTTTAATAATAATATTCTAGTGGGTGTCATGCATAAACTTATCTGAGCCAATTTCGTCTAATGGCACTTGTTATCTTTGACTAACACTGCAAGTTGATGGTTCTGCAGTAGGCTATACCTGAGCATCTAAAACACCTGACGACGAATAGGCTACATGGCAGACGAAGTGTGTCCTAAAGACTGCTTAACAGGACGAGTTATGCCGACAGTAGCTTTTCTGGTTTCATATTGCTTCAACCAAATATCGCTTCAAGTACGAAACCAAGAGCATCCATGCCCAGTTTCGAACCCGGTCCATCTCATGTGTCGTTAGCGCTGACAGTCAAACACGTTACCAACGTACAACGATGGACGCAATATTTTTATGATATGAAAACTTCAACTACTATAAACAATATCCTCGCTTGTTAGATGATTTACGTCCATATCTGACAGACTTAAGATGGTCGTTTTATAAGCGTTCTAATATTACATCATTGACTGCGGCTACTGCCATCGTGACGAAGGTCGACGTTGGACCTGGGAACATTTGACGACCCCGGTGGTTTACGGTTGATGGATATGGACATTCTCGAACTCGATCTGCTTTCATCTATGACGTAATTTTGGACTGCACATCCACAGTGACGCATTACATTATCACTCGTAGATGTGAGACATAAACACTCAGTGGCGATAGAATGGTATACGACCGCAGCTGTACAGAGAGCGTGACCTATCCTTGTGTTTGTTGGCAAGCTGAAATAGAGTTTATGTTAAAAAATCATTTTATCGAAATCACATGACAAGATCGCAAAATATTTGCCTTGTGGTCCCATCATGCAACAAAGGCCTCCGTTTTCAAAGGCCAACAGTGAGACACTACCGTTTGAATAGCTTATTTAATACGACGATTTCATAACTTTGAGCTGTTTGCATGCAAGCCATCTCGAGTGCGCTTTTTAGAGAACTCTTAGTAAACACACTACATCAGTCCAGTCTTCGGCCTTCTAGTACGATTGGCCCAGCCGTTGAGTTCAATCGGGGCTCTTGATCACCTGCCTAGCTCATCGAGCTGTTTAACGGGACGGTATAAATATTTTTGTCTAGTCTAGCCTTTTTACTCAGTTTCATACCTTGCTATTGGATATGACGGATAGAATCGAAAATAAAGATGCTTATTTGATGTAGGAGCATCAATACTGCATATTCTTACAGCGTTCATCTAGAGATAATGTGTGCGTATTTACGACGTTCCATTAGCACCCGCAAGTCAGCCGATTTCCTCTATAGCAAAAGAGTTTAATCATGTATTGGTTCGAAGATACAGACGGAAGCCCCACTGAGGGCTTGATGCTGCCTAAGCAGTCCCAGACACAGCGCGCCCTCTATACACGTACATGGCAAACGGAACCAGGATAAACCTTTGCGTGAAAATCAAATATGCGTAACAGCCGATGTTTACTTGTAGGTGTTCATCGCGGAAGATATTGTATTAAGTAAAACCTCATATATTCATTTTCAGTTTATGTTTTTTGTCAATGTGTAGGAAACGATTTAGGTAATATATTGAATTATATGTCAGACCCCATGGCTATTTCTTTTAGTTGGAACAAAAATAGGTTACTTCAACGAGGATGAACGGCCAAAAGCTATTTTCTTGGCTGTGTAAGGAGGCATTCATTCAACGGAGTCACCTATTCGCTGGATCATGGGGGTTTCACACATTGGATTACCTCAGCCGGAGTGCCCCCCTTATTTGTGCTGTTCTTTTCGTTTTGCCAGTAAATGAGTTTTCGCAGTATGAAATAGCCTATTGGGCAATAGAATGACCCAGGCTGCTGTTGTTCAATTTTCGCATTATCTGTAGCGCCGGTTATTGGCTTGATTGGACGAATGAGCAAGAAAAAGCTTGGCTCTCCCTTGCAAACGGGTCTTTTCCTATGATTTTATATACAACGGAAGGGTGTTCGTTAATCAGAAAATTTTTCTCACAGTTACCTTATTTGATAACACATGATTGTTATTTTCGAAGGAATCTAGGTCTTGTAATTCGATTTATAGGTGCACACTGTAAACTAGATGTATTGGAGGGATGCAGTTGGGGTGCGAGCATGTCCCAGTAAAACATGGACGCGTTGCTATACGTAGTTGTGTAACATGTCGACAGCTTGCAAATGCGTCTCGTAAACATCGTCATACATGCAAATGTACGTCCAGCAGCGTAAAGCAGCCAGGTGCAGATAGTCATAAATATCGAAAGTTACTATTTTTGGACGGTATCTTTCATTACAGATGTTAATACGTTTCGGAAACTTTGAACAAGTTGGGTGTGGGGTCAGCGCTTTAAAAAGAGCGATTGTGTAGCGTTCTAATGATGTGTAAATCGATGGATCGTGCTTGAAAACGGACCGCTCCCATCTCTAATATATATAATCAGACGTATCTAAGGGCGGAGACGATCAAGATATTTCGTGTTGTATTTGTAGCACGTAACGCCATCACATATATACCGGCCATTATAAACTATCGGTAAAGTATACGTGAGCTTCTGGAATTAGTGTGTTGGCAGACGCGGGTCATGTACACAGTAACGTCTTGCCAATTACAGAGGACAAACGGGTGCTAGTACGGTCAATCAGATATCGGTCTTTAGACGATGCGAACTTATTGAAACAAACGTATGAAGCGGCTTTAGCTCGTTTCCAAAGCGATGACGATATCGTTCGCGTTACACAGACATGTACAGCCATCATCGATGATTTTTAGGTACATCGAAGAATTAATTCGTATCGTCTATAAGCCGATATCATCAACGCCATGATCAGCACAGCAAGTAGGATTTACAAATCCGAAAGCACAGTTTTTACCGCATGTAGCATAGCGCAGGGACCGAACTGTGCGTTGACGAGACAGCACGACGTACTCAAATTTACCATGATAGATCATATTCGATTGTCTAATATAGTATAACAAATCGTACCGTATGTACATGTGACTAGCCTGCTTGCGCCCTAGCCAAGAGATTTCAGTCTCTACTTAAAACGAACCGGGTTTACGGTCTGTGGTGCGAAGTGGTAATGGCTCCTGTACTGGACGTCCTCATGCAGCCTCGTTGTTTTTCGCGTTGTGTTCATTGAACAGGGAAATTGACCTTGTGAACGGAGTGTACTTGTTTCGCTACGTCCGTTGGCAGCCAATGTGAGTGCTGCAGCTGCTTGTTGTACGATACCGAAATAGATCAATGGAGTGTCTACACGCCAGTAGTAAAAAAATTGCTAGTAATGTTCAAATTGTTGGTGAAAGTCTGCGCGATAAAGCGACAGGGCGCTAAAGAGACACCGGTGCTGATTGTTCCTTTTTCGGTGATGTGGGTTAGATACCTTCGAGCTCTGGAAGAATGGTCTGGGTTGTATGACGCTGTTACGCGGTGCGCCATTCTACGTCCGGAGCCAGTGCTTGTACCAGTGCTTCTGACAGTTCTACTAGCAGTCCCAAAGGCACCGGGACCTTATAGTAATAGTGTTCCTTTATGAGCTCGGGAGTGTCGATTGTCCTATCGGTGTCCTAGACGCACTAGCCATACGGCTCTTTAGCAAAAACGTCGTTTTAACCTTAACGGCATGATGAGATCGCGTTAGACCGCATTGACCACTCATTTTGAAACTTGTTTATATCATTCTTCGCGCTATTGACCCTTTCAACAGCAATGCACGATGTAAAGTGACCTGAACATCGTCAACTAGATCTTGCGAGTATAATAGGGATTTAATAGGGCGCGTAATACGAAGGTTTTACGCGTTGACCTTTAGTTTCTCGACACAAGCAGACCAACGCACTGTTGACAATGGCCCACATGCGATCAACCTTTCAGTGTGCACTGAAGCTCTTCACCAGTTCGGTTGATTGTTTCTGACGGGCATCGTACGATATCAATATGTAGGCCTATTGATTTATGG